ACTTGAAACAGCAGAAAGGAGCATGCTTTCTATTCACACCTCCACCAGGACAATAATATTTCAAGAACAGGGCGTAGTGTGCTACACCCTCTTTGGAATTTGCAATTTCAGGGTGTGAATTTAATCCACATACCCTGATCTTGCAACATCTATTTATCACACGCAGCTTAAGTTGGGAGCGATTCTTCTTCCTTTGACTGTATTCTAGGTGAATTCGTGCCCCCCAGATAGCGTGGGATATGCCCAACGTCTCCTTGCATTGCATGAATTTCCGCCCTTCTGCATTCAGCGGGATTCCGGTCTTCCCCTCCTGCGTTCAACTTAAGGGGCAAACCAGTCAATCTGAAAACTGCTGCCCGTGATGTCTGGCTTGCAATTTGTGCCCTTCTATAGCACGAATCAACTTCTGGATTTGTACAGCACGCTAAACCGTAAACTCTGGTTTAGACACAGTGGCCGAACTTACATAGACCCCAAACCGAGCCACTCGGATTATAGCTTAGGACCATGTGTGAACCCTGCTGAAACTTTATTTATTTATGTAGAAAGCGTTTATTTAACAAAAAAGGGAAAGAAATGCAGCGAAGGGGGGAAAAACACATTAATACGTCATTGTAAGAGTAAACAATTGCAATTCTATATTTATTACCTGGTGCAAATGTTATTCATACATATTTCTAATACATTTATTAAGACTCAGTTTAATAATGGTTGCTGGAATTGGTTTTTGCTGGGACTCATTCCCAGAACATTCAATATTTCGCCACTGAATCTGGTTGCCACACCTTGGTGCAGGATGGCTTGAGATGCGCGTATCCCTAGAGAACAGACAGGAACGCCAAAGAGCGATGCAGGCATTTTGGTTAACAAGGATGGACCTTGTTTTGAAGTAGGCACTAAGTAGCAGATGGGTTCAGACCACTGACTTCCTCATAGGTTGTGAATTTCAGCTGCCCTTAATATGGGGATTACCTTATCTTTAATTAGGGAAAAATCCTATTAATCCACAGGCAACCTGTAACTGATTAATTACGGTAAGGAAGAGAAGCGAATGTTAAAGTGTGGTGTGGGTGTGATTTAATTCCTTGTGACTTGCAGATAACAACAAAGGCTTTATCTCCACACAGGTGTGGAGAGCTTCTAAGAACAAACTTACACTTTCATTCTATCAGGGCAGATCTTCAGGATGTGGGGTGAGTTCAGAAACTAGGCTTTTAAACTCGGTGAGGCCAGTGACAAAAAACGTCCACAAAGCTTTCTGCTTGTAGTACCCTTCCCTTTGCTTCTGGAAAGCTCAAATCCCCCCCCCTTTTTTTCTTTACCAGCTGTTTCTCCCTGGGTGAAAATTCATCCTTATAAAACAGTGGTTGGGAAGAGGAGTCATTGCATATCCTGTAGGCAAGCAATCTGATGCCCTACAGCAGTGTTTCTCAACCTTGACGACTTTAAGATGCATGGACTTCACACGCCTTCAGGTTGCCAAGGCTGAGAAAGTCCACATGCCTTCAAGTTGCCAAGGTTGAGAAATATTGGCTTAGGGAGTTGAAATAGTTGGGAGGAAGTCTTTGAGATGGCTACTGTCAAGCCCCACAAAGCCGCAAATCCAACAAGTGGGAATCCCCAGGATTTCAGAAAGGCAACTTCCATGTTTGTTGGGTGTAGGAACATAATCTTGAAAACTGTAAGAGTAAATTCCCAGGCAGACGTAATAGCAAGCCAATTAAGGCAGAGTCTCTTTGAAACTTTTCCTTCCCATGATCCCCCCACATCTGGGCTGGTCTGTCTCAGCCCTACTAGGTAGACCAGAAAATCAACTCCACAGGAAGGCTAAAACTGCTTTGACTGAGATTGGCTGTCCTAGCAATCTTGCAAGTCTGAGGAATCCTGGGCATTGAAGTCCACCCATCTAAAAGTTGTCAAGGTTGAGAAACACTGTCCTACAGATAAGGAGGAAGCTATTTTCACTAGTGTCAGACAGCTGGGCACATGGCAAGGGATTGTGGGAGTTGCCGTTTAAACATCTGGAGGTTCCTACCTTACGTTTTCCTAGCCTCTTAGTTTGAGATGCTAGATTTCTAGACGAAGGGCTGGTTTTTTCCCCCAATCAGCAACTATTCAGATACAGGAGATACTCCTGATGCAGCCAAAACTGGCAAGTCCTGGAAGACGTAGTCAGGTCATGGCCTCAAACTGTATACATCTCAGTTTGAACAGGCATACTTTGAGAGCTTGGCATATTGATCCTCAATACGTCTATCTCTGACCATGGAGATTCTGCATAGTCGACTGGGATTATAATGACTTACCCTCCTTTATGGTTTTGGAAACTCAAACCAGATGTTTTGTTTTCTCCGCATTGTGAGAGGATTCACCACGCTAAAGCTGACCTCCATCTTGAATGGTCCACAACATAAACTGAAGTCCACCACGCAAAAGGAATTCCTTGGTCTTCGTCCTCCACGCGGCAGACTCAAAATAAACAGCAGAAAAGAAAATACCGTTTCTTTGCTATAACCCCATTCCTCCCTCTTTAGATTAGTCTGAACTAGATTTAGATTAGTCTGCAAACAAGTGTGTAAACCACAAATGGTTTCAAACTGGAAACAACAAAAGAGGATAGTAATCTCAGAGCATAGGAAGCTGAGTTTACAGAAGGAAAGAGTGAAACAGAGCCGAAAAGTGTGGGAAGCCCTGGAGAAGTTGCTTGTTTGGGGTCTGGTCCCACTCCAGAGCTCCGATGCTTTCCCGGAAGGAAGTTTGAAACAGTGGCCATCTCGAGATGTGCTTCTTCTCAGGCCCAGCCTGCTTTTACAGGTGGCCCTGAGAAGCGAAGGACTCACATCCCCCTCTGCCCTGCCTTTCCGAGGCAACGGCGTGATTCTTCACGATGCTTATTACGGCCGAGGTAGCCAACCACCCTAGCCAACTCAGCCAAGGTGTAGAATTTATGGCTCAGAAAATGGGGCTAGTTGAGTTAAGCTAAACCATGAGTAAGGATGTCGTGCAAGCACGGCCTCAGGGCTTGTCCCCATTCGCCCCCAATGGTGGCACCACAGGCAACCTTTTTCTCTGCTGGGCCTCTGCGGCGTGGCCTTCATCTCATCCCCGCATCTCAGCTTCAGTCATCCAGAACGTGGCTGGTGTTAAGGTAGTCCTTCCCCTAGAGCTCTGGCACTAGGGATATGCGCAGGGTGTGGTCAAAATATTCAAGGTGGTGGCCACAACAGTGCAGTTGACGCTCCACCTGGTTTCTTTATGTGCTTCAGTTGCCCTGGAGTAACCACGATCCTGCCTTTTTTTGACCACACCTTCTGGACACCCCTGTCTGACACCATCTGAGGACAGCTTCAAAGCGTGTGAAATGTGTTGGGCTTTGCCACCGTTCTCTTGGAGGGAAGTCAAGGGGCTGTTGGTGACTGGGAAGAAAGAAACTGGGACAGGAGGGGGGGCAGGCATTTTAGTTTTTGGACAGCTCAGGGGGTGGGGGGAAAGCAACTCAGCTTCTCAACTTCTCTCCTTTGCTTGGTTCAATTCAGATTTTATATTCCAGATCAAGACAACCGCCCCCAAGGCAAAAGAGCCCACAGGTTGCTCTGGATGATCCTAAGTTCTCCTCCTAGATTTATGGTGACACTCAAAGCTTCCACAAAGAGGAAAATGTGCTTTATTTGATTCTCCATTTTTCACCACATGGGCTTTTTTCATATATACATGCAGACATTTGCACATCCATAAATAAAACACTGGAAACAGTGTGACATTAACCCCTAGATTTACATACATGGGGCCTCGTTGGCAGTCGTAAAATATATTTGAGCGCAGTCATTTAATCATTTATAGTGTACATAAAACCACTGAGATATATACAGAGATGAAGAGCAGAAATCAACAAATGATCCTATATCATCCTAGCACGGTGTCCACCAGATGTATTGGACTACACCCCCCATCATCCCCTACATGTTATCTCCAAAGCCTCTGGAGGTAAAACGTGCCAGATGGTGCTTCTCCCCACCATTTATGGATGCGGGAATTCTACCGATCTCTCCACAGCTATGCAGCGATGAGAAAGCTTATTGCTGGAAGTGTTGCGTGTTGGAAGGGCAAAGGTGAAAGAGGGCAATCTTGAGGTGCAACAGTTCAAAGAGCGAGTGTTTTTCACTCGTCCTTTTTTCCATCTTTTTTCATCCATCTTTTTTTCCTCCTGTCAGATAGGAGCATTATTGTATTCTCCAGAGCTGGAATTTTAAAGGTCTGCAAGACTTTTTAAATTTATCCTTCAGTAATTTAGACAGTAAGTAATTTAGACAGTAAACGCAGTAAGCATTTTGTGATTTTGAGATGAGAAACTAACTTTTTTCTAGGTTTTTCAGCAACTCAAGAGGTCTCCAGACTTGGAGATGTTTCTATCAGTGTGTGGATGGCTGATGCCAGCTAGGTTTCAAACCCACCCTCCCTTCCTGAGGTGTGTTCGGGCAGTCTGGTTGGGGAAGCTGGTTTAAAAGCTAGACTCTAGCCAGTGGAGAAGATGAGAACCTAAGCACGTGCTTGACCAGAAGGACTTTTGGGGTGAGGAAGGGGATGGGCAACCCTGGGAAGAACAGACTGGCATTACAAGGTAGCAACAGCTGTGCAACCTGGACATGCTAAAGAAAACATTCTGGCTTGTGCAGACTCTTATCACAGGAAACAGGCAGTGTATGTGCGTGCATGCATGTATTCAAGAAAAACAAGTTATTCTTTCGAGACTTTATGCCACTTGGAAATGAGAAGAGAGAGAAAGGATATTGCATTGCAGGGTTGAGAAATGACATGCCAATTTGCTGACACCATAAGCTGGATGCAAGCCTGATGCCCAGAAAGCTGCCAAGGGATGGGGAGGAGGGGGAAGAGGTGGGCTCTAGATGAGGCTCGCCTTCCCGAACAGTCCACTCTTACCTGCTCAGCGCACAATTATCATAGTGGCTGGCAAAATGCTGGCTTCTCCTCCCCGCCATATCTTTTTTTTTTTTTTTAAATGAGGAGGGAGTCCAGATAAATACAGTCACCTGTTCATAGGACACACATTTTTCCCACAGCAAGGAAGCAGTGCAAGGCAGGAGAATGACTCATAAATCTAGCTCACAGTGTACGTTCTGCTGAAACTGAATAAGCTGGGTTGCGTAAGTCGCTTTCCACCCTCTACCCCAGGGAAAAAGTAATCTCCGCAGATTATCGTTTGCAACGTCCCAGAGCTTGGGGCCCAGGACTGGAAGGTGCTTCAGAACACCTAAGGTCTCCCGGGACGTCCGATGGACCCACCACGTGGGGTGGGCATGTCTGTCCTCGTGTGGGAGCACCCCTCAGAGCCCCCTTTTGAGGAATCTCGGGGGCCCTCACTCAGAGGGCCTCTCGGTAGATCGCCTTGTAGCGCAGATACTCTTCCAAACACTGGATTGCGTAATCATCAATGCTGGGGTCGAACTTGTTGGCAAGCAGGTGGTGCTGTGCGAGTAGCCAGTGGAGGTCCCCAAATCCATAGATACAGATGGCCCGCTGGTAAATTCCAGAACAGGATGAGTAAGGGGCTCCCTTGCTGAGGTCCCCGCCAACGTAGGACCACTTCACCAGCCTCGCAATGGAGTTCATGTCAGTGAGGTCATACTTGTCATTAAAAGGGACCGAGCCAGGAGCCCCTAGCATGCGATGCAAGGTGGCCCAAAGATGCTCATCCGGACTGTACGTATCTTTGGACCATTCTATCAACTGTCTTGCAGTCGGGTCTTTAAAGATGTGCTGGACAAACTCCCTGGTGACCACAATATAAGCACTTCCAGTGAACATGGGAGAGCTTTGGGGAGGGGGGCTCTTTATGGTCTGGGTCTGAATGACGGAATCAGTCACTTCGAAGTGATATTTCCAGCGGTTCTTTTTGTACGAAGAAGGCTTCTCGGACTCCATGTTGTTTTTCCCATTCAGCAGTTTTAGGGCTTGGACAATCTCTGCATTGGTCTTGATAGGGAAGTCAGTCCCACAGGTATTCAGGAGGTACCTCCAACGCACCTTGCTTTGAAGCAGGTCTTCCATGCAGTTCAAGTCGGCTTGGACCCTTGACCAAGAGGCGTACACCACACGCTCCTGCTTAGATGCCAGAAAAACATTGTCAAAGCAGGAGGCAATTGCCCGGACGGCCTTTTGGAAAGGTTCAGGAGATTTGCTGTCCACGTGGACACAGTATACGTTTTGAGGAGCAAAGATGGATCTCAGTAACCTTTCAAATACCTCAATCTTCTCATGGATAACCATGGAATAAGCAATAGGGAAGTTTTCTTCCTCTTCACTCAGGGGGAACCCAATGAATTTTCTCCTTTCTTTGAAGGTCTCACAATCCTTGGTTAGGTTCAAGTAGTACTTCTCATCTAAGGACACCCGCTTGTTCTTCCATTGCAGCTTGCTCAACAGAGCTCCCTGGATCGCCTTTATGTCCCCTCGGCTGATCCCAGAGCAGCTGATGTTCTCCTTGGGGGAGAGCCTCACTGACTGGTACAGCCTGTCCTTGCAGAACCGACCTCTGGGGTCTGTGGTGTCCCTCTTCAGGTAGCTGGGGTTACACTCCCAACGGTTGTACTTCAGCATGGCTGTGGCAAGCAACATGAGGGTCCCCAGTGCCAGCAGGTTTGGAATTTGACACAGGAACCTTTTATCCCAAAAATGCATCTTCCAGGCTTTGGAGAGCAACCGATTCCCCACCTTCTGAAGTCCGAATGTCTGCCTCCAAACTCCGCTGGAAGATTCAGAGCTCTCTGGTTAGAATCAGCATCTCCTTAGAAGCAGGTAGCAGGTGATTCACTGGGCTCTGTCGGAAAGTCCTTCCTCCTGTCTTGATGGCGGGCTGGCAAGTGTAACCTGAGAGCGGTGATGAATTGTCAGGTAGGTTCTCACAGGGAGGGGCTGGGCGAGAGAGATTGCTTCCCCATTTGCCAGAAGGATCTCTGATCTCTTCAGTCCAGAGGTGGGGCCGTTCGCATCAGAGCAGTGAGCCAACAGGAAGCTGAGGACAAACTCCTTAGCTTTCTTACTTTGTTTGGCGACCTTTTAGAAGCGACTTGAAGTTCTGGTAGCTTCCCAAGGGAGATGTGGCTTGGGTGTCCAGGTGTGAGGCGTGCTTAACACTTCAGAAGACGTGTGCTGCATGGAGTGGGTGGGTGTGTTTGTAGGTCTTTACACCGTGTGAGGGCTCCCATATGGTGGAAAACCTGTGGCCAGTGCTTGATGAAACCGTTTGTTCCATCCTATCACTCAGGAACAGGGTCAGGAAAAGCCTATGGCAGAAAATTGTCAAAAGAGCCATCCCTCTTTCCACTTCGTTTCTAATTATATTTTGACCCCGCCTTTCCTCCACGAGCACAAGCTCACGTAAGTTCCTTTGGCTCTTGCACCCAATTTAGCCTCACTGGCATCCTGGGAGGAAAGCCGGGCTGTGAAAAACCTACATGGAGACGTGGTGGGTTTTCTGGGGGTCTCTTATTGGTTGTTGGTCAGAAAGGAGAAGCGGCTGGTCTTCGGTTGGATCGGGGGCAAGGATTCCTTGTCTGTGCTGCGGTGCAAAGGCTCCGGGGGGGGCAGAGGAAATGGGGCAGGATGAATATGGAGGGGAAGAGCAGGTAAACAGCTGCAATGGGGGGGGGGTTAGCCTCTGATTGATGTGCCCCAAACTGCAGGAGGAGAGCAGAAGAGGAGCCCTCCACCCATTTGGTGCCAGCCCTGCCCTTTCGTTGCTCTAAATACTTATGGCCAGGGAGTGACTCTCAGGGAACTGAGCAGGACAGCTTGAAACCACATGCATGCTTTATTTTGTCTTTTCTTGTGCCCCCCCGCCCCCAGCAGTAATGCAAAGTCTTGTTGCTGTTGGCTGAGAAAACGGGGAGGTGGGCAAATGACTTCTTCGCTTTGACTGGCTTAGCAACCTGGTGCCCTTCACCACTGGGCTCTTTGCTGTAGGCAGCCCCTTCCTCTCTCCCCTGCCTCAGATTCCTCCTCTCTTTGCAATCCATAGGATGCTAAACTAAACCCCTTGGTTAAGCATTGGCCACCAATTAAAACACGGGGAAATCCCTTGTCTAAATGTGGCTGAGAGATCGTGGCCGCTGCAAGGATTTAATCCTTATGCAAACTTTCGTGCTCGTTTTTGGCTCCTAGCAACTCTGTGAAAGATTCCAACGTCTTGGCTATGATCTTCTTCCTAGGGCTGAGAGATGGTGACTGGCCCAAGGTCACCCAGCTGCCTTCTGTGCCCAAGGCAGGACTAGAACTCAGCTCTCCCCACTCCTAACTCCTGCACCTTAACTATTCGACCAAATTGGCTTATCTGGCAGGAATTTCATGGGGGGAAAAAAGCGTAATTCCTATCAATCTTCCCCAACTCGCACCCTCCTGATACGTGAGGCTTCACCTCCCAGAATTCCCAGCCTGCGTGTCTAAAGGGGATTCTGGGAAATGCAGTCCCAACAGAGCTGGGAACAGATTTAAAGGGCAGTTCATTTCTGTTCTGAATGAGATACCGACTGGTTTAAGAAACGAAAGAAGGAAGGGCATTCCCTTTTCCCATGCCTGTGGAATAAAGGACAAAGTGCAAGAGCTCAAGAAAGGTTTACTCTAGAGTAGTCTATCCACCCAACCTGCTGCCCCAGGAAGTGTTGGATCATGAAGTCCAGCAGCGTTATTTTAATTTTGATGCATTGCCAGCTAGTTTGGGATTTCTGGCCGTGATACCAAACGTTTCAAGAATGGACAAGCCAGGAACTGGATGACGTTGGGAAAGAAACTCAACTGTGGGTGCAACTACAAACCTGCTTACCTGGGAGTAAATCTTGCCAGATTCCCCTGAGTAGGGCAGGCAAGTAGAGAACAACACGATTAATTGATCCGCAAGTAAGTTTGCCTAGGGGGAATTCTGCAGTTTGGCCTTCAGAGGGGGCATCTGGAAAATGATGCCTAATCCCGTTTTGAAAGTCCTTCAGTGAAATATTGTGTATCAAACCCCTTAGCCCCACTAAATACAACAGCAGCTTCTTCACTGTGGTCCGCAGACCACAGTTGGCTGCAGCTGATTTTCCAGGTTTTCTAGAGACTCTGGTGCTGCAACGTCTGCTGGGTGGCGGAGGGTGGACAATCTCCCAAAGTTACCCCTTTCCACTGCTCCTGTTCTCCGTCCCAGAATGAATCCAGGCAGGACAGAACCAGGGTGTGACCACGAGAGTTGGCAGGGCCAGAGATGGCCTCTGCCCCAACAGCTAAATTGCACATGAAATTCCAGACAGATGATGCTTTAATGAGGCAGCCTGTTCTTTCCTATTAATAAATTACTAGCAATTGCTCTCTGATTCTAATCTGTGGTGTTGAACGGGCATTACCTATTTTGAAATAGTCTGCTGCAGCCAAGACAGAAATCCACCATCCAATTTACGCCGAGCGGGGCTGCCCCCAAGAAATGTATCTTGATGGATTTATGAAAAACCTTCCTGAGCGGAAAATCACCAACAAAGTACGGTGAACTTAATGACTTTTCATAAATGGCCCAACGGATACAGACCAAGGAAGCTTGGCCAACCTGAACCAACTCTGTCTTTGGACCCCTCCATGTTCTAGTCAGATGTGGTATTCGTGGTTTCTCTTGCAGCCAAATTGGGGGGGGGGGGATTAAAAAAATAAAACCAAATGCAAGTCAGACTGGTTCAGGTCAGGAATCACAGCATGTAGGGCTAGGAAATTGAGAGGTAGCCTTCTTTGCATTGACCCAAATAAAGTAAGATCTCAGTCAAGAGGTTCCCCACTTCATTAGCCTTTGGACAATGGGGCTGGCCTACCACTCCTTGGGAAAAGCTAGAGTTTTCAGGGCCCAGATTCATACCCTTGCAACTCCAATGAAACAGGGTTGGGGAGAAGGAGATAAGGAAACATCTTCTTAGCTAAAGAGGCAAATAGGTTTACCCAGAATATGATAGGTTCTTCTGAACTTTCCACATGACTTTAGATCAGTGGATTGCTCTTGCTGGCTGGGGCATTCTGGAAGCTGAAGTCCACACATCTTAAAGTTGCCAAGGTTGAGAAACACTGGCTTAGATGGAAGATGAAGGATCACGTCTTAGCTGAATGGGGCTAAAGATCTATCTACTCCAGGATTTTGCTGTTGGATACCCCACTGTTTCTGAAAAAGCAGGGCCAGCAAAAAGAGGCATTGCCTCCAAGCAGTAGATTGTAAGGAGTGGGGCAGGAGAAGCAATGGGGTGTTGGAGAATAGAGGCAACAGTCTCATGTGATCTGCCCCACAGCCCTTTTAGCTGGGGCCTGTCTTGGAGCCCAGCAGGATCCTCTGTCCTTGCCATGTGATCCGTTCTCATAAGAAATTCCAGTTTTTAAGCAGGCTGTTAAACTCATACCCCACCGGAGAAAACTATCTGCGGTATCTGGTTGCTGGCTAAGGGTCAACATCTACCTGATGGCTGATAATCAGTCAAACTCATACTGTTCCAGTGTTTTCTTACTGTCAAAATAAGTGTATTGCTTCACAATGAGGACAAGCTAAAAAGGTTGATTCACAGACAGAAGAAAGGCAAAGGAAGATCTATTCAGCTCAATACAGGTTGTTGAGGGTGATGAGAGGATGGCATGGAAGATACTGTAGATGGCAACAAATGGGAACGTAAAAGAATTGTGATTTTTTTAAGCTGCTCTAACAGGCGACTGATGCCTAGCAGCCACATCTTCTAATGGCAGATCCCCCCAATATTTGGTCCCTGTGTTGCAAAGGGTTACAGCCACAAACATGAATGGGCATTGGGGCAGAAGACCAGTTCTGATGGCCATATCAATTTATTGAATCAATAAAGTCCACCTCAGTTGCCAGTCTGATCTAAAGGGGCAACCAGCCCACACAACCTTTGCCTCAAACAGCAAAAGCTTTAGGTTAATCTTGTGTATCTGAGTGAACTATACTCATGAGAGTTAACTGCCATTCACTTCTGCAGAAGTCCAGCCCTGCTTCTGAAGTTCTGAAAACGATCATTATTAACCTAATTCTGGAGTTGCTTGGAATGATTTCCCAGTTCTTCACCGAAAGGGCTTTCAGCTGCTCCATCCAGATGTTCTGTTCCCGTTGCATGTTAGTCTAGGCAAGGAAGTTTCAGATCCTGATCTAAAGTTTTGCTCCAGGAATCTCTAGAGGGGGTACCTGGGTGGGTCCTGGTCTGCTAAAGCTATGTGCACAGACTGCATTCTGGTGAGCGTTTACAGGAAGGTGTTCTGTTTTAACAGGGCCATAATGTGTTTATAGTGAAATTCCAGCCATAAACTTTGTGACAGTAACCATACAAGCTATGATTCATTAATGGCGTTACAGGACTCATTGTTGACACTGAGATAACCTATGTGGACAAGGTTATTGAACCAGGTTGTATGAAGTTCCTGGAAGAGATGCCTCTCCTGCATCGTTGGTCTTGACTGCAGGCACCTCTGGGGAAAAGATGCTGCCCAGGACCAGGTACTGGGCAAAGTACAAACAGTAGGTTCCTGCTTATGAGCTTTTCTAAGAAACAAGAGGGCCTGATTCACCTGATGTGTTCTTATTGGGAAAGGAACGCCCCTGTTCTGACGTTTCTGTGTAAACGTATTTACACAAAGTTGCAGATTATGGATTTAAAATTGTGGAGGATCTTCTTGGAAGCCATTGGCCAGCCATTGCAGCGGAAACAGAAAGTTGGAGGAAGACACATTTTCCACCTTATCTGCGCTCTCTGCATTTACAGGCCTGCTAAGCATCTGGACAGCAGGTTTTCCTTTTGGCACTGAATTTTTGTGGCTTTAGACTTTTATTGTTTGCTTTTTAAACGTATT